TGAAATATTTGATGCGAATGTGCTTGGTACATTGGTAGTACATTATATAACCGATTTTTTGTGATAATCTGTGGACAAAAGAACGGCTAAAATAGAGAAATTGTGTAAAATAAACGTGTTTTTAATATACATTTAAATACATGCATATCTAAATTTATATTAATTTATATTAGTCAATTTATTATCTTTAATTAAAAGTAGTAAATTACTTATACATATTGTATATGTATTTATGAATGATAATGTATTTAAATTATACTGTATGGTCACAACCAGCCAATAGTATTACTATTGACTTTAGATTTGTTCACAATTCTTCAATAATTTACAATATATTGAATTATAACTCTTCACAACCAATTTGTTATACAATAGATATCAGATAATCTCTAGAAATTTATTTTAATTTATCAATAAATAACTCATTGAAAATATTACTAAATTAATTATTTTTCACAACCATTGGAAATGTTAAATCTTATTTATATCATGTCTTATTTTTAAATATATTAAGGATTTATAATTGTTTCACAACCTTATGTTATAAGTTATAACGATTCACAAGTATTTCACAACCTTATGTTATAACGATTCACAACCTGAAGGGTAAGTCAATTTGTGAGCACTTATTGACTACACCTTTATGTTTAAGAAAATCTCCGATATTTCAAATTAGAGTACATTTGAATTGCATATAAAATATAGCATTCATTAAAATGAATGATAGTTATTGCGGAAGGTTTACGCTCTCGGTTTAGTCGATATAATAAAACAAATTCTAGTAAACAACAAATCAATAGAAATATTTAAATCTAAATGCAATTCATAGCCAAAAATTCTTTCAAATTCTAATAAAAAATTATCGGAAATAACAATATTTTTATATCAAAATCTATGTAAACATTAACTAATATAACAGTTTTAAACGGAAATTCCTGAAAACTCGGAGTTTTATACAACTTATGTTTAGTGATTGAGTGAGTGATACACATGTTTAGTGTAGATTGAAATGTATCGAAGAAATTGAATGAAAGCTCATTTATGTTGATTCGTGTGATATTATGTGATCAGAATTCAGGCCAACCGAAGTCCTTACCCACCAAACGATAGAAGAGGCGATTATGTGAAGCATAAAATCTTCGCAGTGTTTGAATGACTTGCGGATCAATTTGCGGATGTCTTCGACCTTTACTTTCGTTCAGACACTTATCTGAAGTACCGTTAAGTCGGACACAAAAGAATCCTTTCGTTGAATTATATGAGAAGTTTTCGCGACTAATTCGATGACTTAATCCTAAGAATTGTTCCACTTTTTGCACTTCTGGAAAGGGATCATAGACTAGACGATCGCCATCGACGACATGCACCTGACTTTTCGGGAATACCTATTCATTCAAATATAAAGCAAATTACAAATATTTTTCATAACCATTAAAGATAACTCTGTGATAAAATGCAAACCTGAGTCCAACGCGAGTAAAAGATGGCATAAATACTGATGCGAACGGCTTTATAACTGGTGTTAATTTTTCCTCCATTTAATAAAATCAAGTCTTCAAAAGAAGCCATTCGTCTGTCTTTCTTAGCCTTATTGGCGGCCAATTGGGCGTAATCTGAGATGAGACGAGTGACCGGATCTCTCACAATGATTATCAGTTTAGTGGACGCATTCATGGTGTATATGCGTTGAGGGACCGACTCAGTGATGAAATAGGCCGGACTCTTCTCTATTGTCACTTCTTCTGGTGAGGAATAAGGCATTTGGTTTCGATACCACTCCAGTCCTAAGCCATACTTAGAGTCTTCGTCAAAGAAGTGGACCTCATCTGAAGCTTTTTGAACCGATGGATGAATATTGAGGAACTCTAACAACGCTCGGGTCCCACACTTTCGGACACCAATTATTATACATTTTGGTAATCGTTTCTCCATTCCATTTGAATGAATGACAGTTAAGTCATTGCTTCACATTTTAGATAAATAAATAAAATTCTTTAAATGAATATAAAGTGAATGAATAAACTAAACTTTATTTAAGTTTAGTTTATCTTAACAAAATTAAAATATAAAAATTAAAAATTGTATGAAATTATATTGTTAGTTAATAAATATTTGTAATTTCATTTTTACCAACTGCTAGTAAGTAAAGTAGTTAGTAAAGATTTTCCAAAAATTAACCAAAACTAATGAGGCATTTTCATTTACATATGTGTAAAAATACCAAATAGTTTTGTGAGTTTATGTATAGTATTCACAATTTAATAAATATATTAGGTGATTCACCTATATTTTTGTGCTTTAATTTAATTAAAAAAAACAGTAAATTCTATAAAACAAACTTATATGGATATTTCTAAATTTATTACTGACAGCGAAAATAGTTTTCAAATCAAATAAAACAAAGTAATAAATTTGCAAATACCTAACGTCTTGAGTGTTCATTTTGTTATGACTGCAAATGTGGAGAATTCTGTGGAACCGATATTCGTAGACAAAGAAATGATAGACAAGACATGTAGAGACCAGTAGTGCCAATACAGACA